TGAAGAACAAAACGGTATCATAGAGCAAATCCCAATTATTAAGAATATCTGCCACAACAGCGCAACTTCTTTGGCTTTCAGGTCAGTACCTTTGAACCGCAGTGAAACTAATGGGAAGAGACGGCGTTGCGTGAGGGACGGGCAACATATATCAAACGAGGCGCTGAACATTTCAAGCCCTCTCCACTGAGGCGAAGCGTCACACCACACATACGTCCATTTTTTTCGTCGGGCTGGGCTTCCCAGAAAGAACGGAACACAAGATTTGCAGTGATGTCTGCCCGCACCCTCGCTCTCCGAAGTGTTTCAATTCCAACTTTCTTGAACTCCACATGCGGCTCTCCAGCGATAACTTCTTTCCATGCGTCGCTCGCCTCACTGGCCTGCTTCAACTGTTTCAAATACTTGGTTGCTTTCATCCAAGAGATGATGAGGCGAGCGGGGATCGCTGTAAATGTCGATGCATCTCCCTCGAGTGCAGTCGGCCTCGCGACGGCAGGCCGTGCGACCTGGACAACCTCGCCTGGCTGATATGTTTTGCAATCTTTCTCCGTGGGGAAACCTCCGATGAGACGTTGACGATTGATTTTGTTGGTACACGCCACAACGTGCAAGATTCGGCAGCGACCCTCGCCGAAGAAACCAAGACTTTCTTTACTGCAAATTCGCCAAGGGATTAGGTTTTGATTGCGTGGTCGTTCATCCGTCCATTGATCCACCACCTTCTGAACTTTGTCTGACGATATACATTCTAAACCCATCATCGATCGATGTATGTCTGAGCGGTGTGTTCGAATGTCGAGAGTGTGCTCATCATATATGCCAATCATCTGGATAATTTCGTAAACCACGAAGCCAGTCAGCAGCCCTTTTGTCATTTTCATGGCCTGGGGTGCGAGCTCAGATCCGACGACTTCTATCTTTTGCACAAATCTGTACGCAACCAAGGCCACGGCAAATACGTCACCCTTGTACGGCCCGTCATCTACATCTGTTGGATCACCATAATATTCCCCCCACACACCATGATTGTTCAGCACGAGAACAACAGTTATAATATCGTTTTTTTCAGCAGGCCCTCTTCGACGAGGCCTCGCAACGTCGAGGGCTATGTCATCATCCAAATCTTGCTCCTGTGGGAGATCGAGCGCAATGTCTTCTGCGATCATCGATGCATTAATTATGAGCCAAAACGGCTGCTGAACCGACGATTATGGTAGCGGGTGCATGGCAATAGCACTAGTAATGAGACGGCGAGAGCTTGTTGGGCCGACTTGGGGCCGTCTTGGGGCCGTCTTGGGCCGTATTAGGGCCGCCTTGGGCCGTCTTGGGTTCTTGTAACGTCTTGGGGGCATCTTGGACCGTCTTGGAGTCCTGCTGGCGCTACTGCTACACAGTGTCCAACTTGGCGAATGCGATTCGATCTATAGCTGGCGGAGGTGGGGGGCAGGATATGCGTAAGGGGTCGCAAACGCGAATTTGAGTTGAGGGGTATGTTGAAACCAGGGGGTGGCGGTTGAGGGGGGCAATTGTGAGTTTATGTCCTAGGGCTGTGCCTCCGCACTCCCGAGTGCTTTCCCTGGCGCATCGCACGCCGCGGACCTTCCAGTGATGGGCCTGTTTTCCACCACCACCACCATAAGTTGGAGGGGGAGGGGGTCCTCCTCCTCCTCCTCCTCCTCCTCCTCCTCGTCCTCCTCCCCCTCCTCCTCCTCCTCCTCCTCCCCCTCCAACTTATGGTGGTGGTGGTGGAAAACAGGCCCATCATTCCAGAGCGCGGGGCCCCGGAGCGCTCCGACAGCGTCTCGCAACGCCCTGCTGAGGCTCGACCTCTCGGGTCGGGCGACAGGGGGGGATAGCGAAGGGGGGGGGTGAGAATCAGCTCAAGTTGCTGATTTTCCCGGCGCCTCCTCCCGGCGCCGGGAGGCGCCCATGCATCGAGGAAGGGGCCCCTCGGTCGGGCCGAAACCAGCTGCATGCAGCAGATTTCGTACCCCCCCCCTTTCCCAAATTCCCCCCTTTCGCCCGACCCGAGCATCGCTCGACAGTCGAGCGGTGCATCACGGCCCCGGCCCGCCGGAGCCCGGCCCCGGCGGGCCCGAGCTGGGTTGGGTCGCAGAGCCAGCCCTGACCTGCCAGAGAGCTATGTTTTAGCACTGGAGACCTAGAAGCCTAAAAAACGGAGCGAAACTGCCTATAAAACCAAGACGTAGAATAGCCTTGGGGTAGGTTTTTAAGTCGCGTGCTATTTTTTTAGCCCTCTTGGAAGGTCAGGGAGATCGGGTCGGAGACGGACCGCGGCGCCCAGGATCGAGCCCGATCGGGTCGAGCCGGATCGAGTCGGATCGGGACCGCGGCCCCAGCCGGCGGATCCGAAGCGCCTCGGATCCACCTGCAGGCGGCCCCGCGCCGAGCGGCCCTGGCCCAGGCGAGCCTCGCCGGAGAATCTCTCACACTCCAGGTGCCTCAGCTCCCCTTTTGGATGCTTGTCGCGCCGCTCCATAGGGAGACGAGATCTATGCATATCCACTGCTCCTGGCCAGGCCCATCCTGGGCCCAGGAGCGGTGTATATGCCTCCCTGGCCAAGCCAGGAGGGCGTATACACAGCTCTTGGGCCCGGGATTGGCCTGGCCGGGAGCAGTGGATATGTATAGATATCGTCGCCCTACTCCAGGCGCAGAAAGGGGGGGCATTGAGTGATCTCCGCGCTCTCGCGCCACCCCGCGGAAAGAAGAGCCGCACCGCGGCCCCGCCCGCGAAGCGCGAAGCGCGAGGCTTTTAGCAGTATCCGTGCACGTGCGGAGGGTGACGTCGATGTCCCCAGAGAGGGAGCAGGTTCGTGTCGTCACGACCCCGATGCTGGTCTCCGACACCACGCGGACCTTTCAACCCGGCACTGTCGGCGGCTTTCGATCGCCCGATCGTTCCACGTTGCCAAATTCTGGCCGCGAGGCGTGCAACCTGGAACGCCCATGCCGGGTTCGCCGCCGTGTCGACCCGACACACGCCCCACCATGTATTGTTGATCAACTCGTCTGCTTCGTCATACCACGACTGCGACTGCGCCCATGGGGAATCCAAAAGGGATGGACGCTCGCGTTCTGCAAAACGATCCTGGGGGCTTGAAGCCGAATCCTGGCCCGAATGAAATCGTACCTACGCGGGCCACAAAGATACAAGGCCCTCTAACCACGCCCGCACTCACTGCCATCCCTCACTTGGATCCTCCCTCCACCCCCCCATCTGCATCTGCGCAAGGTCCATCCATCCGTCGAACCCTCCCCCCGCCACTTCATCCAAGCGAATTTGGCCTCTAGCTGGAGACTCCCTCGAAGCTCATTATTCTGCCAATTTTCGCTGGCACATGCGTGCGCAGTTTTTGTCCGTCTCAGACGTGAGCTGTCTGAGCGCGGAATCTCATCACTGATTGTTCGTGCTGGTTGCTTGCTCTGGACCTCAGGCCATGGGCGCAGAGGCTTATGAATGTAAACGCTGCCATCAGTATCTCACACGAATATTAGCGCCTCTCCTCAACTTGACGAAACCGCTACTCCCCAGGCCGCTCCTGGGTGCGTTCTGGCCAGAACCTCGAGGCGGGCGAATCTCCGGCGGTGGCGTCGAGGGCCACCCGAGAGGGCGAAACGAAAGAGAACGAGGGAACGGTAGTGGAATGGGTACCTTTTCCTCCTCCGTGTGGAGGGGGAGAGGAGGGGAGACGCCAGGGTCCCGCGCCGCTCGGCGAACTGATTCGTGAGAAAACGGCCACCTGCGGTGTACGCTCAGGTCGGGCATGTCCTCCTACAGGCGGATTTTGTCAGAGAGGAGCGAGGAGGAGTGAGGAGGAGTGAGGAGGAGGAGGAGGAGGAGGAGGAGGAGAAGGAGGAGGAGGAGGAGGAGGAGGAGGAGGAGGAGGAGGAGTGGAAGGAGGAGGAGGAGGAGGAGGAGGAAGAGGAGGAGGAGGAGGAGGAGGCGCCGACCCTGTCGGCGTGTGGAAGAGGCTGCTCCATTTGACTCGTCGTCCTCGTCGTGGTCGTTGTCGTCGTCGTCGCGGCCTTCGCCGCTCGCTTCCCCCTTAGGCCCGTCGCCGTTCCCCCCACTTTCACACCAGGTTCTCCTCTTCGAGCGCGCCAGCCAGAGCGAAATGGAGCAACGTTGCAGTTGAGTCGAAGGGGAGCCCCTTCCCTCTGGTCCCTTCCCCGCCGAGGGGTGGGGCGGGGACAGCGGGGTGAGGTCCAGCGGAGGGGACCCAGGGGAGGGGTCCCGAGGGTGTCCCGGGGCAGATACGACTCCCCCTCGGGCGGTTGGGCGGCTTTTCTTGGCCGCCCCAAGAGACGGTCCTCGAGGACCTCGAATCCCCGAAGTATCGGTCCAGGTCGCCACAGTAGCCTCCAGAGGTTTCCAGAACGCCCGAAGAGGCCTCCAAGAGGACTTCCAAGAGGGTCCCAAGGGGCAACAAAACATAGATGTTCCGTAATTGTTGAAAGGTGTCGGCATTCTCCTTCCCGACGCTCCAAGACAGGCCAAGAAGCCCCCAAGACCGCCCCAAGATGGCCCAAGAGGCCTCCATGAGAGCCCCAAAACGACCCAAGAGGACCCCAAGACCGACCAAGAGGCCTCCAAGACAGCCGAAGAGGCCCCCAAGACGGCTCCAAAGACGAGCCCAGACGGGGGACCCGAACGGACATTTCGAGCCCTCGGCCTGAGAAGCTCTCAGGAGGCCCCCAGAGGTCCCTAAGAAGCCCCTCGTCGTCGTCGTCGTCGCCATTCAGGGTCGGCGGCACCGGCCGTAAGGCCTTCGCAACAGTAACAAGAGCACGAGAACTCGTCACCAGACTGTTCGTTTTCTATTATTGAATGCTCCTCCCGTGGAGGGACATGCCAGACTTAGGTGTACCTTTGCCTCCTCCGATGTTTCGCGCGGCCTGAGGCGAGATCCTCCCCCGCCTCGCCCTTGCAGGGCGCCCCTGCGTGGACTGACCAGGCTGCGGCGGCGTGCCGCCTCGCAGCGCACAAAGGGGGCGCGCTCGCGGCACTCGCAGCGCAGCAGCGAGCCGCCGAGCGCCCAGAAGGCGTCCTGGCACGGGGGGCCCGGCGGCGAGCAGAAACGGACGGCATGCCTGCAGCGGGATGGCTCGGAAGTGAGCGAGCGGGGGGGGAGGGAGGAGACGGCCTTCTCAGAAGGCTGCTGGACATCTCAGAAGCCCCTTGCGCGTTCTGGGGAGTTTCCTGTGTCTTCGGGGGGAAATTGCTCGGACGGCCAGGAGACGTCCGAGCGTTCTGGGAAAGCCCGTCCCTTCTCATTTGTCCCCAGGCTCGCCGCCGAATGGCGGCAACGAGCTATCCGAAGGGAACTTGTTCGAGGGCAACATTACTGGATGCGCATATTGTCTGCAAGCAAGCATGCTTGGAGGCAATGGGTTCACCGAAGGAATCACGACTGCCTTCAACAGGGATGTGCACATTCATTCAATGTCTGCCTCCTTCAAGATCTTATTCTCCAATAACAATAGATACCTGAGGCCCCGGGTAACAATGAAGATCGGGCCAGGGTGTCCTGCGGTCGCCAGGAAATGCGCGCGAACACCAACTCGTGGGGAGGAGTCAACGCCGCCCACCTGCGCCCGATCGATAAAATTCCCTCGGGGGATTCAGCCCTGGCAGCGACCGTTGCACGCCAGAGAATCGAACAAGAACCATCGCCACGGGGCCCGTGAGAGGGGGGCGGGTCCTGCAAGGGCCCGGAGGCTTCCAGGAGGGCGCTTCCGTGCAAGGCAGGCGGCCCCGAGGCCTTCTCGACACCCAATCTGCTTCCACAGAGCCCCCGCGACAACCCATGCTGCGGGCCGCGGAGGGGGGGCCACGGCCCGAGCATCTACATCCAGGACACGAACGCCCTCCACGCTCTCGCGCCGAAGTCCCCCCCCAGGGCAGGGAAGCGCCGATGCCCACCCAAGAGAACGCGCGGACCGCGCGGAACTCCCGAGCACGGCCGAACCAAACGGCACGCTCCCGATGCATCGGCATGGGGCGCCGGAAAGGGGGGGGAGACGGCCCATGGGGAAAAATCTGGCTGCAAGCGGCGGTACATCGAGATCGGCAGGGCCAGAACCAGGCACACACGAGTTGGCGCGAAGGAAAGGGGGGTCCCGAGGGAAGCGGGGTCGTTGACCTCGGGGCGTCCCCTGGTCGTTTTCGGCGGTCCCGTGGCCTGGACAGAGCCGAAGACCAGATGGACGCATGGGCGGGCGAGCAGGCAGGCAGCGTGTGGCCACGTATGGACAAACGGATAGAGAGGCAACGGACAGGCAAGATGGAGACCAGATAGACGTATGGGTGGACGTATGGCCACAGCGAGCGCCGGCATGCAGGCTGACAGGGAGGCAGACAGGCGGACAGACGCACACGACGCACGGAAATCGAGGGCAGGGCAGGACACGGCAGGACGGGAGAGGAGAGCACAGGATTGCACGGAACCAAGACCGACGACGAGACACCGTAGCCACACCGACGAAGAGGCTTCCGAAGCGACGGAGGCCCCACGCACACGCGGCACCGGCTGCGCCAGCGAGGCTGGCACCCACGGAAAGGGGGGTCAGCGGTGGCATCGCTGGCGGCATCAACTGCGCCGCTGCGGCTGCAGGGACGGCAAGAACGGCAGCGGCATCGCTGGCGGCTGGGACCACGGCGAAAATAGGTGCGGCACGAGGAAGCCGTGTGGGCCTCGGTCACCGCGAGCGCCCGGTCCAGCCACATCGGACATCCCCTCGGGGGCATAAGAGGGCGGAGAACAGGAAGAGAGGACAACGTTGCTTATCGCAGCGAGGGGCCTCCGCCTACGCGAATTCACTTCAAGCCGCAGGCGCGTTGCCTGTCGCGTTCACCTTGTCAGTGAATCTGGCGTGGGAGGAAGGGGGAGCGCCATGTTAGGGAAGGGGCCACCGCGATATCTCGTCTGGGCCCAAAGGGGGGGGAAGGGATGGCCAGCAGGGGGGGGCAACGGCATCGTAGTCGGCTGGGCACGGAGCCCGTCGCTGTTCCAGGCTGTGAAGTAGCGCATCGCTTGAAGCTGGCGCGCCTCAGCTGCTGGCTCAGCGGTGCTGCCAACGCGTACCGAGTCTTGATAATGTCCACTGTTGACGATGATGCGCTGCTGCTGCTGCTGCTGGTCCTCACCGTCCTCCCCCTCGCGCCCACAGCAAGCAATCCGAAGCGCCGAACTGGAGCTTTCAACAGCAACTGCATTCCGCTCATACTGCCGAGGGCACGAGAGAAGCGAGGAAGACAGAAAGACACACAGAGAGACAGAGAGAGAGAAAGAGAGACATAACAACAACAGAAAAAGAGAGGGAGGGAGAGAAGGCGAGAGGCATGTAACATGTCCTCTTGTCTGCGCCTGGCCAACTTGAAGCACTGGGCTGAGAGCGTACCACTGGTGACAAACAGCGAATGCGTGAAGCCGACGTGGGCACAGCGCGAACAGATCAGGGCGATGCCAGCGCAGAAGACGAAAAAAGGACAGGGCACAGAGACGTGCAACACGAGGCAGACCCTGGAGGCTCGGAATACACAAATGCCCTCCTCCCCCGCCTCCTCGCCCCCACTGGGGAAACCAGGAGTAAAAGTAAAAATGCCCCCTCCCCTTACAGGGCCCTGGAAACGACAAGGCCGTTTTTGTTTACCGGTTCCGTTTTGCCGTTTTTTCGCCGGTTCCGAAACTGGTTTGTCACCGGTTCCGTCGCCGTTTTTTGACCGGTTCCGGCTCCGGTTCCAATCCTGGAACCGTTTTTGTTGCCGTTTCCGGTCGCCGTTTGTTTTGCCGTTTCCACTTTCAAGGAACATTTTTTTGGAAACGGTGAAAAAACAGCCCTGCCGTTTCCGGGGCCCACAAAGACCCTCCCCCTCCCCCTTCCCCTCCTCCTCCTCCTGCTCCTCCTATTTGGGAAGCTACTCGCTGGACCTCTCCCGGGGTGCGGTGTGACCAGAATTCCGAGGCGAGTCCGGCGGCGGCGGCGGGGGCTGCCCGGGGGCCGCGGTGGGAAGCCTTTCCAGACGAGGGCGAGACGGAGCCCTAGACCCAATCTTCCTGCGTCACTTGTCGAGCCCGATCGACCTGCGGGGGTCCCGGAGCCCGAAAAAAGGCGGAAACGCCCGGCGAAAAAGTTGAGACGCCAGGATCTCAGGGTGGTCCTCATCTCATCCTCCACATGAGCGCGAGAAGAGCACCCAGCGGGCAAGAACTGTATCCGTAACCAGTGCATCCTGGATCTTCTTGGAAGGGGCGCCACAAGGCCGAGGCACACTGCACATGGATACAGATCGAGCCTCCATGGGGCAGATCTACCCACAACAAGTGCATCTCGGGTTTCTGGTCAGGGGCAAGTGGTTCAGCGCGACAACCTTCGATCTGACAATGCCAACGGTGTTGCGGTGCCGTGCTGGTGCCAGGCCAGCTCGAAGGTTGGCGCTCACACTTTTTAGTCGTGGAGTCCCCCTGCCCTCAGTGGGTAGGCCGGCAACGCACCCCTTGTCCTGGTGGGTCAGGAGCTCCTTGGAAGGGGGGGGGAGATCCAAGCTGAAGAGGGTAGGGACAAAAAGGGGTTCCCCGCAACCCGGGCCGACCCCGCAAGAAGCTGTGGGGGCCCCCGCCGTGCGGCGGGGAGGGAGCACACCTGTCCATGGCCTGGCCTCAGGGCCGCGACGCCCATCGGCGCGGCAAAAAACGCACCACTTCCTCCTCCTCCTCCTCCTCCTCCTAATCCTCCTCCTCCTTCTCATCCTCCTCCTCCTCCTCCTCCCCCTCCTCCTCTTCGTCCTCCTCCTCCTCCTCCTCCTCCTCTTTGTCCTCCTCCTCCTCCTCCCCCTCCTCCTCCTCCTCGCTCCTACTCGCTCCTCCTCCTCCTCCTCCGCCTCCTCCTCCTCCGCCTCCCTCCTCTTCCTCCCTTCCTCTCTCCTCTTCCCTCCTCCTCCTCCTCCTCTTCCTCCTCCTCTTCCTCCTCCTCCTCCTCCTCTTCCTCTTCCTCCTCTTCCTCCTCCTCTCCTCTCCTCCCTCCTCTCCTGCTGCTCCTGCTCCTCCTCCTCTTGCTCCTCCTCCTCCTCCTCCTCCTCCTTCTCCTCCTCGTCCTGAACAGCTCGTCTTGCTGTACTCCTCCCCCCCTCGCTCCTCTGGGAGGAGGTGGGAGAACGAGGGCGGAGGGGGAGGGAGAAGGAGTGGCGAGGGAGGAGGGAGGAGGGAGCGAGTAAAAGTGCAGGGAGAAGGGCGTGGTGGACGAGAATCGTTGTGTTCCTCCTCCTTCTCCTCCCCCTCCTCCTCCTCCTCCTCCTCCTCCTCCTCGACGTGGCCCAAAACACGCTTCCTCTGCACCCCTCTCCTGCTCCTCTCCTCTCCTCCTTTTCCTCCTCCTCCTCCTCCTCCTCCTCCTCCTGAGCACCTCTTCTTGTTCCAACCCTCCTCCCCTCGCTCCTCTGGGAGGAGGGGAGGGGAGGAGGTGGCGGAGAACGAGGGCACAGGGGAAGGAAGAACGAGTGGCGAAGGAGGAGGGGAGGGCGTGGTGGTCGAGAACCCTTCTCCTCCCTCTCCTCCTCCTCCTCTTCTTCCTCCTCCTCCAGACCTTCCCAAACGCTAGGGACACCCGCCTCCGAGCCCTCCGAGCATTGTCGGAGCGGGGCCCACAGCACGCCTGAGCCAAGAGGCTGCGGCGTGACAGAGCGAGCAACCTCGCGCAAGAAGCTCGCCTGCCCCAAAGCACGTGTCTCGCCGCAGGGGTAGCCCGTGCGAAGCAACTTTGTATACGCGATCGCTGAGGCTGGGAGCCGAAACTGGTCGATACTCTGAGTCTGAGGCTGCAGCTGAAGGCTAGCTAGCAGCGGCACGACAGAGCTGAATGCAAAAGCAAAGGTCAACAGCCAGGCCCAGGCCGCATATCCACCTGCAGCCAGATGCACAACTGGAACTGCAGCTGCCAACCGCAGCCGGAGCTCGGACCTGGTGAAGCGGAGTGGGCAGGCCTGGTCTACGTCGTATGGCAACTCTGACTGGTAGAAGTAAGTCTGGCCGCCGTCGCCGGACCACCTCCACCGGAGGCTCTGGAATCGGGTGCGTACATGAAGGCTCGGTGGTTGTCATCACATGGTCCTGTCCCTCTACCTTGCTTCCCTTCCTCATCCTTCCGTCCCGCCGATGGTCATGTGTAAATGACCTTCCTAATGCAGATACTGCTAATGGCCATGGCTCATTCAACATCGAAGGCAGACGGACAGCCAGCTCGGAGCGCCAGGCTTTATGGAATTGCAAGCATCCCGACCCAGATCCAGACCAACGGCAGCTCCAGCAGGCGAAGAAGAAGAAGAAGAAGACTCAGAATAATAATAATAATAATAATAATAATCAGCGGCGCTTGTCATGAGCTAGTCTCGAGTGGGCGCGATGCATTGATTTGAAAATCTGATGCACCTTGTCTGCGGAGACATTCAACACAATGCAGGTTCGTGACCAGAGCTCTGAATCGTGCCCCAGTTCTGCTCAAGAACTTCCACTGGCTCCGTCCGCTGATCCCCTATTGCTGTTGGTGCTCCTCTGACGCTCTGCTATGTATACCTCACCATGTTCGAGCTTGCCTGGGACAATCCACGTTGACGCCGAATAAAGAGTGCGCGCATGCGATCAAAGGATGCCATCCTGCTGGGCGCCAGTCGATCACGGCTCCGCGTCGAGGGCGACCACGTGCGCAACGGCGACATCGGGAAGAGCGCAGTCCCAACCAATGCGATGCACGCCAGTCTCGCAAGACTGACCAGGACGAGAATGCCGTCATGATGCGATTGCCCCAGGGTGCGTTCCAGGAATTCGGGGGTACCTGGCGGCCCTCGCTTCTCAAGCCCTCGTGGGCGAGCAGGAAATCTCTGGAAATCCTATTAAATGGAACCCATGAGTATATTGAGGTCGGGCATCTCCTCCTACAGGCGGATGTTGCAAGACAAACTAAACAAGGTTGTGTTTTTGTTTCGCCATCAACACGAGAAAGGGCCACGACGGACCCCACCATGTGCAGTTGTGGGTGCCGCAATAGTATCGTCTTCGGTGGGGCTGCATCTGGGGCCACGAAGCGTGCGAGGGGTGTGCCGAAACGGGGGTGGAACGGCATGCGAACCCTGGGGCCTTCGGTGGAGCTCCCCGTGGGGCCACGGAACGTGTGAGGGGCGCAAGGGGTGGGAGCAGCGGGAGGAGGGGGAGGAGCGGGAGGAGTGAGAACGCGGGCCGCTGTCTTTTCCAAACGAGGGCCCAACACCACACGAATGCTGGGAGAAGCTCAACAAATACTCAACAATAGTCGAAACATCGTCCCCAGACTATTGTTAGACTGTGTTTGATTCCTCCTGTAGAAGAACACGCCCGACGTAACATTATCATGACACCTTACCCCTCGGACGGAGATGCGGGGCGGGGATCTATCCACCACCGCCTGAAGAAGCGATGCCCTGTCACCCCAGGGGGCGGCTGATATGAATACTCGTGGGACACACTGGAGCCCGAGGCTGTCCATACCCACCGCGGGCCGAGGTCCCCGGGCATCGGTCCTCTGGGCGGTCGTTGTGGATGCATCCCCGCTTGCGAAATGGCAAGGATCGCGCGGGTGATCCTTCGACTCGGAGCTGGCGTGGACTCACCATCTCGTTGAAGACGGCACGAGCAGCGGGGGGAGAGTATGTACGCATAGCCGCCGCGGCGCTGCGCCGCGATTGATGGTGTGTCCCGC